AGTGCTTAGCTGACTCTCGCGCAGTGATGTTATGTGATTTTAAAATCACGCGGTAAATTCGCGGGAAGCTGGCTGCCAGCTGACTCAATAAGAGTGAAGCAGGCGCCATGCCTGGCCAGTGCTCCGGTTACTTTCGCGCCGTGATGTTATGTCATTTGAAAATCACGCAGTAAATTCGCGGAAATCTATCTCCCAGTCGGCTATATAAGTAAAGCAGGCGCCATGCCTGGCCAGTGCTTGGGTGACTTGTGCGCCGTRATGTTATGTGATTTGAAAGTCACGCGGTAAATTCGCGGGAAGCTGGCTGCCAGCTGACTCAATAAAAGTGAAGTAGGCACCATGCCCGGCCAGTGCTTGGGTGACTTGTGCGCCGTGATGTTATGTGATTGGAAAATCACGCGGCAAATTCGCGGAAATCTATCTCCCAGTCGGCTATATAAGTAAAGCAGGCGCCATGCCTGGCCAGTGCTTGGGTGACTCTCGCGCCGCCATGTGATGTGATTCGGAAGTCACAAGGTGACTGCAGAGAACACTGGCGGCCAGCCGACTCTGTCCAGTGCTTAAGTGACTCTCGCGCCTCCATATGATATTATTTAAAAATAGCGAACCGTGCCTGGCTAGTGTTAAGCCCCTGCCCAATACCATATGTAGGTATTTATGTAGATCTACTAGCATAAAAATAACATAAAGAAAATTAAAAATTCGTTTCCGTGTAAGGAAAAAGATTTATTTTAATAACTTAATTGTGCTTAAACGCTTATTACTCAATTAAAAATAAATAATGGTGTAAAGCGTATGTTTTCTTGGCAAATTTTTAAATTTGTCGTAGTCAATTTCATAACAACTTGTTTGTACATTTATTTTATATTTTATTTACACTCTCCACACGCATTCACATGCTAATTTAGCAAATCTCTTTGTTGTTTTTGTCATTATTACTTTGCCTATTGACATTTACAGTGCATTATTATTGCGTGCATTATTTCTTTTTTGTTGTTGTATATTACTGACGCACGGAAATAGAGTTTTGTGCTCATAACCCAAATGCCATGCCCATTAAAGTAGTGAAAAATAAATAAATTTGAATAAATTTGCCTAGGGTAAATACAATAACCCTTATAACCTTTGTGTTTAACGCATTTCGTAAGGTGCTTTTATTACTTTTTTTTTTTTGCTAAACTGTGTGCCCACTAATTTATTTTTTTAAGGAGCTTTTTTGCCGAAGCAATTTTATTACTTAGCAGCAGAACGTATATAATTTCTTTTTAGGTTATGCCAGTATTAAAGTTTTTTCAGTGATTTTTTCAGTTTTGACCTTTACGAATCATTAACGTGCAGAAACAATTTATACTTTTTTACTGTTAACAAAAAAGTTCAATAATACGCACATTTAAGGTGTTGATTTTTGGTCAAATTTCTTGCTTTATTCAAAGAAATATTTAAATAATTTTAAAGATAAGAAATATAATTTTATTAATATAAATCACCTCATTACACCCGAGATCAGCTGGTCCGTATATGTATGTAGCGTGCACGCCCAAACCTATTTGCTAAAAAAACAAAATTTCTTGCTATATTGGTAGCACCCTTTATTATGTTCGCGTGAAGTTTAAACTCCGTTAGTGCATTTTTGGCAGCTGTTTATTTACATCGACAAAAGTTTTTTATAAATTGAAGCAATTTTTCGGTAACGAAAAAAACAAAAAATCACAGAGGTCTCTCGTTTCGTGTTTTCCCAAAAAATCAGTCACAAACTTGCTGCAAAGTGATGGCACATTATCGTAGTAAAAATCAATGAATTTTTCGTCCACAAATCGGGTCATTTACAACTGATTCTCTTTGTGACCTTTGCTCGATGTCGTTTTTGCTAAAGGCATGTATCTTTTGGTCTGAGTCTAACATTGACACGCTTCATAGCTAAAACATTAACCAAAATGTATTGACTCAATCCATAAGTACTGTTAAGATTCTTTGCTATTTCTCTCAAGCCAGCAAAACAATTTTAACTGAAAAGTGTTTGAATATTTTCCACGCTTCCGTAACCGTGGAAGCATACAATTTCAAACAAACTCGTTTTAAAATTGTTTTTCATGGTAAAAATCGCCACATAAACTCTACGCGTCGTAAACCAACAGTTGTCAAACACATACTAATTGTGCTCAAATTTTATCTTGAGTATTCCATTTTTTAAATATAATATAAACGGAAAATATGATTTTCCTTCCTTGTGAGTACCTTTACATACATATGGGCATATACATATACGATCCATTAGATGTATTTTACGTAACCTTATAATTGTATACAGTGATACAATCGTTATGCAATTCCCCATTTCCATGTACTCATACTATATGTAAATATACATACCATATGTATTATATATATAGTATGTCAATTTTTTTAAAATGCATCTACCATATTTGCATACATTAATACATATTTGCTATTTTTACATATGTTTGTATGTACGCAATTTCCCTGTTACCAGGTAATTTAAACTTTTTTTATCCACAATTAACGTAACTAAGTGTTTTAATTAACATCTTTGACTCTGCTACTGGCCGAATACATTTAAAAACACACAATATTTCGAAGCTAAAATAAAGTTGCAAATTCTTGAGCACGAAATTGTGGAGCATGCTAAATGGAAATACTGTAAATAGTTGTAAGACTTTGTTCATAGTTTTAAAATTCTTAATTTATTCTGCAAACCTTATGTAGTCCTCTTCAAAGTAATCCCCTTGACCCAACCAATACACTTGTGCCAACGTTTTTTCCAATTCTCGAAACAGTTTTCAATGCGCGTAACGATTCACGTTTTATGACTTCAATTGACTCAAAACGGTTTCCCGGCGCGGTCGTTTGGGTTTGCTGAAGCCACACGGAGCTAAATCAGGCGAATACGGTGGTTGCGCCACGATATTGATTGAAAATTTTGCGAAAAACTCACAAAGAATCAATGCAGTGAGCAACGGTGCATAATCGTGGTGCAAAAACCAAGAGTTGTCGGCCCATAATTTCGGCCTCTTTTTGCGAATAACTTATCGCAAACGACGCATAACACTCAAATATTATTCTGTGTTGATTGTTCGGCCCTTCGGCAGGAATTCAGAGTGCGCAGCACCTCAATACTCGAAGAAATGTTGATTTTTGGCCTGTTTTGACGTGTTTTTTTCACCTTTGCCAAGACATTCGGCCGATTGATCGTCTGTTTCCGAATCGTAAGCATAGATCCAAGACTCATCACCAGTAATAAGATGTTTCATGACATCCTGGTAGTCGGAAAGCATTGTTTCAACCTCGTTAACGCGACGCTATTTAATTGTGTTCAAATTTAGTTATTTTTTCCTCAATGAAGCCATCCCTTAAGCGATTTGTCTGCCTTTCCCACGACAGCTGGGTCCAAGTAAGCGGAACGCACCCGGATTTTTTACCGGCCAAGGACTGTCAATTCGGCACCATGCTTCAAAATTACTTCAGCAATGTTTCCTGCCGCTACAACAACAACAAACAAAATATTTGTTTTTTTGAAAAATCCATGCCCGGAACATAACCAAATTTTTAGCCGAAAAGGAATGACATCTCGTTAGCATTTCTCTAAATTGTTGAGGGAATGTTTTGTTTATTGTTGAGGTTATGTTTTTTGCCGCTAAAACACCAAAAACCGTCTGTTCGTCTAACCTACAGCTGAATTGTGTTGCAAGCCTAACAAAATTGTTAAGTTTATAGAACTATTTCCGAAGTTCAAGTTTGTGAGGTTAAACATTTTTCACCTCACTTCCTTCTTATTCAACTCAACTTTAAAAATAATATTCTCAATTGGAATAATTAGATTTTGCTATATTACTATACAACAAATTCATGATATTCATTTTAAAAAAGCTTTGTGGATCCCGTTAATTTTTTTATAGTATATGTACATTCATAAATACATATGTATATGCATAAATATTTACTATATGCATATATAAATTTATATTTAAACGCATACTCGCCATTTGCTAAACATATTCGAAGCTGCAATACATTCGTCAGATTTATATCGGTCACCTTCCGTCGCTCGATGCTGAACTGAACAATTTTAAGTTTGAAAGGAAAAGCTCAACTCTTAGCTAATCACAATCCACAATCTCTTATTGATTTATGCATTGCATTAATTTGAATTGAATGTTCATTATACCTAAGTTCATGCGCGCTGATACGAAACGACAAACAATGCACAGACGTAAGTGAGTGTGTATATGTGACTAAACGCATATAGGATCTACATACATATGTAAATTTGTCTACACCAGTTTTTTTTTTTTTTGTATTTCTGCTCCAATGTCAGCACTTGACCTTGTACGCTGCAACCGAATGACACTTTACACAACTCTTGTCAAACAAAAAACAACAAAGAGAAGAGCTACAAAATGCATAAACACTTATAAAAAGACTTTTTCTTTCCTTTTTGCAGATGGACAATGTTGAGATACGCAAACGCCGTGGCTCATTGCATTTCATCCGCTTCCAAACCACTGACATGAGCAATTTTCTCCTGTTGGCCAAACAAAAGGGCATGGCTGAACTGGTGACCACCGTTTGTGCAACGGGTGGTGGTGCATTCAAATTTGAGAATGAATTCCGGCAGGTGAGTGTACAAAAGAAGATTACGCTATATATGAAAGAGCGTTGTTTTTGTTGCAAATAGAACAACTTACTCTCTTTTTGTTATCTTCATAATAGCTACGTTTATTACTTAAATTTTACTTACTTAAATTTTAAGTTTTTTAAATAATATTAAATTTTCATTTTCTCTTCACTATAGCAAGTCAACATGAAGCTCGCCAAATTCGATGAACTCGACACGCTCATCAAAGGCATACTCTTTGCCGAGGTGCAAAATCCCACAGAGTGCTATTTCTATGAGAACGCCCGTGATATTATGTGAGTAGCCGATATTATTTCTGTCTTGTATTCTTTATATTAATTATTTTCATATTTATTTTTTGTCTTGCAGGAAAAGTGAAAAGCGCGCTTTTGATTTCTCCAAACCATATCCCTTCATATTGGTTAATGTCGGCTCGGGTGTGTCGATATTGGCTGTATATGGACCAGACAACTATAAGCGTGTCTCAGGCACAAGGTACCTTGATTTATTTTTATTATTATTTTGAAATTGAATTTACAACAATTTTCGGCAATACAAGGTATTTATAAAATAATCTTTCCTACTCCTCACAGTTTGGGTGGTGGTACATTCCTTGGCCTCTGTTGCTTACTAACCGGCTGCAATTCATTCGAGGAGGCTATACAGCTCGCAACAAAGGGTGACAATCGTAAAGTGGATAAACTGGTGCGTGATATTTACGGCGGCGATTATGATCGCTTTGGCTTAACGGGAGATTTAGTGGCGTCAAGGTATTACAAAAATATTTGCGCTTTCATGAACAATGGTACTATGCAACTCAATGCCATTTATTTATAGTTTTGGACAAATGCATATTAAGGATAAACGCTCATCCGTGTCGCGTGAGGATTTAGCTAACGCCACATTGGTAACAATTACCAATAATATTGGTTCAATTGCACGCATGTGCGCGCTGAATGAGAAAATGGACAAGGTAAGATTTGTATTCCTGAAATATGCCCTCAGTTTTTTTGATATCGCTTTGAAAAATTACAACCGTCCTTTTCTCTCCAAAAAGCTTGTCAGAACCGCCTATATATAATCAATATGACATATGACAAAATCGCATTTTTGTAAGGAAAACTTTTTTATTTGACAAGATATCTTCACGAAATTTTTTATAGATTATTTTCAAAGAATATGCTACATTATCCGAATATATTGCTCAAATCAGACCACCATAGCCTATAGCTGTCATATAAACTGATCGATAAATCTCAAGTCCTGGTATGGAAAACTTTTTTATTTGACAAGATATCTTCACGCAATTTTTCATGAATCATGTGCCCAAAGCACAGGTACAATCTCTGCACAAATTGTTCAAATCGGACCACTATAGCATATAGCTGCCATACAGATTAAACGACCCTAATCAAATTCTTGTATGACAAACTTTTTTATTTCCTTTTTATTTGAGAAGATATATTATCGAAATATGGAAACTTTTTTTGTGATCGGTATTCTAGCTGCTGTGTAACAAAAATTAACGTTTTTTTTTTATTGTTTTTCATTCATTTAAAGCTTTAATTATTCAATTTGACTTTACAACCAAATGTAAATAATTAATTTTTCTATTGCGCTTTATTTTCAGGTCGTATTTGTGGGCAACTTTTTGCGTGTAAATCCGATTTCAATGAAACTACTCGCCTACGCCATGGAATTCTGGTCGAATGGCACACTCAAGGCGCTCTTCCTCGAACACGAAGGCTATTTCGGCGCACTAGGTTGCCTATTGCAGTTCAATGGTGAAATTGCGGCCGCTTTGAATGAGACAGCAGAAACGTCACAACAGACACAAAAAAGCGAAACAACAGCTGATACTTTTTCAAATACCATAAATTCCACAACTTCGCCACACAGTAATAATGCCAATAATAGTGATAGTTGAAGTACAGGGACTGCTGCTAATATGTATTTTTTTTAGTTCGTAGCTCAAAGAAATTTTAATAGAAAAGAACTAAAAATCAATAATACAAAAAATGCTTGAAAATAATAAAACGAAAGTATGTACTAACAAAAACAGACAAGACATCAAAATCATAATCAAAATATAGTTAATTAATAATACATTTTTTATGTGTTAGTATAAAAAGGTAAAAGTATGTATGTAGTTTTTACGTATGTATGTATATTTAAACAATTAAAAAAAAAACAACAACAACAAACAAATAAAATAAGTTGGTAAAGAGCAATCACACACGTCCATAAACTGATTATTTAATTTGTATATAAATTATAACTAAAAATTTAGGAGCGAAGTTCAACAATAGACGCGGGGCGTCTATTTGAATTAAAAAATACGTATATATTAAATAATGAATTAAAAAAATAAAATTAATTAACAAATTTTCAACGAATTATTAAATAAAAACGCTCGATATTTATGCACATAAAGTAAAGCTAAAATGCGCAAACATATATTGTTGTTACAAAAAACACACATGCTTTGTGAAATACAGGGTTCGGATTTTCAGCGTATTTTTTATTTAAACAATTTTTCTCGTATTAAATGCACACAATTTAAACTTAAAACTTAATAGTAACTATTGATAATGTTATAAAGTAAATAAAAAATATGAAAGCATATATATATATATATACATATATATATTTAATATATAAAATATTTAAGGCAAAAATGGCGCAAATGGCATTAATAAGTAATATTTAAAAATATTGAAATTAAACTAGATAATTAATGTATTAAAAAATTAAGCAGACAATTGTGCAGTCGTAAAAAAATGGTTAGTCAAATAATTAGCTGACGTTGAGCGCAAGAAATTTTATGTTGAAGGCACAAGCTTGATAAATTTTTGAATGTTTTTAATAAAATTATTTTATATACAAAAAATACAGGATTTTGAAAAAATTTATTAAATTCATATAATTTTTAAATATATGGATTATATTTGGTAGTAAAGGGGGAGGTTATTGTGGTAATAATTTTTTTACAAAATAAAAATTAGATTGAATATCGAATATTTTTTTAGTTGTAAAGAAGGTATTTTTCATATATACTCGTTAAAAAGTGATCAATTTAAAAAATATGTTTAAAACAAGAAATAAAAGTGTACCGAGGTTGTAGCCTTGCCTTAGTCAATAATCTGTGTCAAATCTCGGGAAAATATTTTGTCAAATAAAATATTTCTAAACAAGAACTTGATTTTGATTTGTATCTTTCAAACTTATGCTCATCAGGGTATAAAAAATGTGTCGTACGAGACATAGGTTTTTGATTAAATAAAGGAGTATGACCCTTCGTATACCTAACGAAAAAAAAATTCTTTACAAACGTCAAATAATTTATATACCCTGCAGAAGGTATATAGGTAAGTCCGAAACGCCAATATTGGACTACTATCGTATATGTATATCTGCCATACAAACTGTATGGTCGGAATCAAGTTTTTATATGAAATTGTATGTCCATTGACGAGATATCTTCAAGAAATTTAGCATGAATTAATATTGTTGTAGCGACAGAAAACATTAAATAATTAATTTCGAGGTGCCGAGCTGATATTCCTTGGTTCCGTGACCGTTCCGGTTACTTGAACCCGACTGTCGGGTGAACAGATTTCTATTTTATTACTGTCTAAAGCAATGGTGCAGTTTCGGAAGAAGTTGTACAGATCAAGTCATTATAGTTCATTATAGTATTCTTTGTTTTTTGTTGCATTCGAATATTTTTTTATTATAGTTAAAATTCTTAAAATTAAAAAAAAATTAAATATTTAATATTATATTGAAAAAATAATTTATCACATAATATATGCACAAAAGTACTTCAAATAAGGTTTCAAAATTATGTTGCATTGCAATGACAAAATTCAACGAAAATAAAGTAGTTTGATATGACTTTGAAATTTTGTTCACTGTAGTATTTTTTAAAATATAAAAAAAAAAATATTTGTATAAAATAAAACGCTGTATGAAAATAAATCTGGCAAGTTGTTTGCATTTATTAACATTTGAAAGCAGAAATGTATATGTATGTGTATATGTAAGCGCACATTCACTTTTCATTGTATATACTATTTATTAACAAATAATCTTAAATATATGTATATATGGTAACAAATTTCAACATAAATGAAAAGCTTTTTTAAGGTATACATTTTATGAAGCATTCATAATTTTCCTATTTGTATAACTATGTATAATGAACAGCAATTGTAGTATGGCTAGAGGGCTTACGCTGCTTTAACTTTCAAAGAGTGGCATTGCTTAAATGTTTAATACTACTTATTTTTTATTAGCCGCTTATAATTAAAACTAGTTTAACCTCAACATTATCATTTTGTGACAATGGACGTATTAACATTTAATTTTATGTTTATGTTTTCTACTTAAAAGATAATGATGAAGGACTGGACGTAAATCAGTCTAATAAAATAACATGGCAAAGAATACTTGACTCAAACAATAATAAAAATAAATAAGAAATTAAAACGATAAACTAACAACATAGTTTTTTGTTTCGAAAAACGCGTTTCAATCAATATTTGTATTAAATACGGATTATAAATGATTAGTTTCAAACATAATCACTATTGCAGTGTACGGAAAGTACGCTTGTCAACGAAGATATTACGATAATCTCGGCTTTCTGCACAATTCTCTTTAAAGTCAAATACACGTATATTTTGGTCCGTTGCAATAAAGAGATAACGATTATCACAGGCTATGCTATATACAGGCGAACTTTGATTTCTCGCCTTTTTACTGCGTCTTGGGAAGTACAATTGTTGGTATGTATTCGGCATACGTATGTCATATAAATTGACGCGCCTATGATATTTGGCACCGCAAAGTAGTCCATACAAACCGTCATATTCAACGCAGTAGAATGACGAATCAAAAGGATCTTCGAATATGGCTTCATCTCGGTTAGAACGGCGATCATACATGCGGCAGGTGGTGTCAAAGTTGCCCGTGAATAACACATTCTCATCCTTAATAAGTAAATCATATATAGAAAGCGTGTTTGAGTTTAAGACAGTTTCCTTGCCGCTACAATAAGAAATTATATAAAAGGTAAATAAAAAAAATTATTTTCAAGAGTTTCTTATTTATCAAGTTACCTTTCCACATCGAATTCGCGTAAGGCATATCTTTCTACATCGGTATATAAACCGCCATAGAGACGTTCGCCGCCTTTAGATAACTTTAAAACTTTATATTCCTGCGGCATCTCTGCGAATGGTTCTAAATAAACCAATCCGAGTTCGCTTGTGCGATGCCACAATTTCGCACAAACGTTAGTACTGGTTGCATATATTTCATCTTCGAAATCTACACAGTGTAAATATTCTTTGGCTCGATGCAGTTGTTGTTCATGTACTATACCATCTTCCCAAATATAGCCATTACCCGTAACTCGACCAGCGAATATTGTATCTTGCTTTTTGGCGAAACTTGATATATCTCCACGTGAGCCAGTAGATATTTCTTGTAAGCATCTACGTTGCAGTGGTTCGTGTTTAGCACGTCCGTATAGCCGTAAATAGTCTAAGTGGCTTACATATAATAAATCCCGTTCCAAAAGTAGTTTAGTAGGAAACATTTGTATATGATTACAATATTCGTACTCCCTATAACGTCCTTGTAACCAGTTACGAGCTATGTGAAAACGACTTACATAGGAAATTGATAAATAGTACGACCTGTAACATAAAACTGTATGTAAATAAAAAAAGTTGTGCATATAGTAGTACACATTACAATATACCTTTTGTTTGTGCGCGTACAACTCCGATGTCCACACATAAGTGCATCCAAAGTTTTCATGTAGAATATATTCTTGTCGATTACATTTCGTAGATGATGGTGCACACGACACAAATTTAACAAATCCTCTTCAGAACAGTAACTCAGAATTCGCAGCATGCAATCCAAATTTAAATCAAGTAATTTAGTGTGTACCTTTTGATTATTCTCCATTTTGGTATTAATTGCTAATCGATCAAACTATCAAATTACACATTCGGTATGTAATTATTTATTGAAATATATTATTTTTTTAAAAAAGGATAAATAAATATAATACTTCGGCATGCAAATACTTTATTTATGTTTATAACATCCTCTCCCGGACAGCTGTTAATTGAGAATAACGATTGAAAGCAAATCGTGTAAATAGATTTATCGATGTTTTCTATTTTTTTGGAATAAATCAATTTTTGATGTATCTCATTATTTCTATTTAATATTTACAATTTTTGTATAGTAATTTAATGGAGGATGGAGTCATGTGTAGAAGTTCACGCAAGTGAGGAAAGTTTTCTGATCGCCATTCACGTGGGAGTGGCCAGAAACGATTCTTTTACATATGACNGGCGCCACGTAGCGAAAAGAAGAAACGACTGGCGCGCTGTTGTTAACTCGGCTATAATCGCGTAAGCGGTGACTACGCCAATCAAGAAGAAGAAGAAGAATTTAATGCACACAAGTCTATAAAAATAATTCCAGTTGAGATCATGTTAATTATTTTTGATATTAATTCCCAGAACTGTTATCGACAAGCAATTACCATTCCATGCTATAGTGAATGTGTACGTAATAAGAAGCTGTAAATTGTATCTGTTAATACCCAGCTGATGTTTGTTTGCGTTAGAATTAGGAAACGCTATTTTAATTGATTTATAATAACTCTGAGATGGATTCCAAAAATTCAGCGCAGTCAAATCCCAGCCTAAGTCAATATTTCGCCGATGATCCACCAAGCTTTTTTGATGAATTGGCAAACAGCAGTACAAACAAGGATAGTGGTATGTAAGATTAATTTTGAAATTTCAAAAAGTTAATTTGTGCATTGAAAATAGTGGACAACGCTAGCGGGCCAGCACCAGTAGCACCGCCACGTACAAATCAAAAACTACAACCGGCGCCCAGCAATTTGACAGCGAATACTTTTAGTGGTGCTTTTAAAGCTCCGGAATATGTAGAAAATGCTCTGGACGGTGAAGACGATCTCAAAGTTTCGGAGTATGTACGAAATTTCTGGGAACCAGCGACTTGTGAACACGGTGGTATACGGCCTCCTTTGCTAACGACACCAGGCATACAGACGCCAAATGATCTGGTTAGAAAGCATACAATATTTTTTCTATATATGTATATACATATTTAGATCTATTTTTATGTATTATATTTTTAAACAGCCGGACTTAATTGCTGAAGCAGTGTTGAAACATTTAGGCGAAACAGAGTTGTCACAACGAAATATACTCGGCATAGACAATGTCACACAGGATGAGCG